AGAATTGCTTTACAATGTTATGTTAGTTTCTACTGTACAAAAAATTGAATCAGCTCTATGAGACCCTTGGACAGCAAGGAAATCAAACCAGTCAATCCTAAAGGAAATCAACCCTGAATATTCATTGGAAGGACTGATGCTGCAGTTGAAGCTCCAACACTTTGGCCAACTGATGCGAAGAGCTGACTCGTTGGGAAAAAAACCCTGATGCTGGGAAAGATTGAAGACAGGAGAAAAAGGAGCCAACAGAGGATGAAATGGTTGGATGTATCACTGACCCAATAGACATGAATGGTCCAACTCTGAGAGACAGTGAAGGACAGGAAAGCCTGGCATGCTACAGTCCATGGGATCACAGAGTCAGATGTGACTGAGCATCCGAACAAGAACAATATGTATACAAATATCCGCTCCTCCTTTTTTTGGCCACACCACAGGGCATGTGGGATCTTAGTTCCCTGACCAAGGATGGAAACTTCACACCTCGCAGTGGAAGCTCAGAGTCATAACCACTAGACTGCCGAGGAAGTCCCTGCCGTGCTTCACTTTCACATCCACAGTTTGAAGCCTTACATCCTCTCTTCATTTTACTAACAACTTAACAAACTGTTACTAACAATGCCCACAGAGCCCCTGAGGCCCAGGTAGCTGCTCAAAACCACTCTCAGGTGTGGTTCCTCCCCCCTATGACAGAGGGTGGGACCCACAGGTTGATCCATGCATTCAGGGCACGCAGAGGCCCCAGGCCAGGCCCCCTCAGTCACAGACAGCCCTGCCTTGGCCCACAGAACCTGATCTCTGAGCTTTCTGACCTCAACTGTGTCTTCACACCCATTTCACTTTGTGCTTCCCCTGAGTGCACCGCACCGCCCCCTCCACAAACAGCCCTAGCAAACCTTCTCCTGTGGTCCCAAAAGCTCCTGGAGTCAGATCCAGGGCCCAGTGAGGAGATGAGGCTCAGTATGGTGGCCTCAGAGCTCACTAGCTGCATAATGAGGTCCCTCCAGCTCAGTTCTGAAGTTCTCTAAACCCTTGGCTCAGCTAATAGACCATGGTCACCGCAAAGGAAACAGTTTCCAGCACTTTCTCACCTTCTAGACCTTCTTTCATCACCATATCCATGAACCCTCAAGTCAACAACCTCAGGCCCCCACCCATCAATCCTAGCCCCCCTGGAGCAACCTGTGATAACCCAGATTACTCCTATCTCTTCCTCATCAAAAGCACCATTCTAAACCTAAAGGAAATGTATCACAGTCCTTCATCCTGAAAATATTTACCAGGTTTGAACTGTGCATTTAATTCATACTAAGATTGAAATAACTGGTGACAGCCTAATCTATGAATTCTCCTCATAGTGTTTTCATTTTCAAAGAGAAGGATATTAAATCACTGATGATATAAACTTCTGACAGGAGCCCTATGGTTCTCCTCAAATGAGAAATTAGTAGAAAGATAACTAACCTAAGAAACAGGAGACCTGGTTCTAGATCTTGCTCTCCCATTCGGTACCTGAAGCACCTGAAGCAAGCCGCCTTAACCTTCTCATCTCTAGTCTTTGCTGTTAAATGTGTATCATTGTTGTTGTTCAATAGCTCCATCATGTCCAACTCTATGCAACTCCATGAACTGCAGCACACCAGGCTTCCCTGTCCTTCACTGTCTCCCCGAGTTTGCTCAGACTCATGTCCATTGAGTCAGTGATGCCATCCAACCATCTCATCCTCTGTCACCCCTTTCTCCTCTTGTCCTCAACCTCTCCCAGCATCAGGGTCCCAGCATCATATGGGTGGGCAATCTTGTAGGCAAGAATACTGCACCCTGAAGCATGACATGGAGCTCACCAGGTGGAGAGGGGGTGACAGAGTGAGAAGTACATCTAACACCCTCCTTGGATCCTTTCATTCTTGGCAAAGGCTAGTGGTCCCATGTGGTGGTATTTTTGACCGGGAGCCTAGTGATGGCTCTGTTTGCCCACCGTCTGCCTCTAAGCAAGATGTACATCAGCAGGCTTTCCCATGTCCCCCCATAGAGGGGCCAGTGTGTGAGCACCCACCATGGAGCTGTCGGGGGCCTCTCTCAGCTTCCACCCCCTAGCAGCCTGTTATGCTGTCAGGGGTGGGGTGGGGAGCTCTGGAGCAGGGGCCAATGGGGCATTTACCATACATCTGGAAGATTCTGGGTACTGACACCCTAAAACTCACCCCAGGGATCTTCCTTGGTGGAGCTGAGGCCACTGAATTGAACTCCTGAAAATAACCCCCTGCCTCTTCCTGACTTGTTCCCTAGGCCAATTACAGTGTTCCAAGGGGTCAACAAGAAAGTGGTAATTGCACAGTACTTGGAGGTGTGTTCCTTGATGTTGTTCAGTTGCTAAGTCCTGTCCAACTCTCCCAGAGTTTGCTCAAATTCATGTTGAGTCCGTGCTGCTATCTACCATTCTTTTCATCCTCTGCCAATCCCTTCTCCTTTTGCCTTCAGTCTTTCCCAGCACCAGGGTCTTTTCCAATGAGTCAACTCTTTGCACCAGGTGGCCAAAATATAGAGGCTTCAGGATCAGTCCTTCCAATGAATATTCAGGGTTGATTTCCTTTAGGATTGACTGGTTTGATCTCCTTGCGGTTCAAGGGACTTCCAAGAGTCTTCTCCAGCACCACAATTTGAAAGCATCAATTCTTTGGCGCTTAGCCTTCTTTGTGATCCAACTTTCACATCTGTTGAGTTCCTGCTTCCCCACTAAGATGCTGTGTCGGAGCACACTATCTGGTCCCAGTTAACTCAACTGGAGATAATCAAATCAGGTCCTCCAGCTGTTTGCTTCTGAAGCTCCAACAAAATAAGAGACATGTTGTGTTTTAGTTGGGGATCGTGTGTTTGTGGAGAGCAAAAATGCAATCAATCTGTTCAGTCGAGGCCTGTGGTCAAGGGACTTCTAATGGCAGGAAGTACAGCCCAGTCCAGTGTTCACCACCCACCACTCTCAGCCACACTGAACCACCTCTCTGAGATAGGAGGTCCTTCTGTGCTTCTCTCCAGCAGCTTCTCTCTGGACAGCAGCTGTCCCTGGGAGGGCGTGGTATCTGCTTCCCCTGTGTGAGGTTCGGGGTTGCCAGGTGCCATCCTGAGCCCCTCTGCATGGCCTCGGTTGGACGTCAGCTGGGCCTCATGTCAGCGGGGCTCAAGTCGCCAGCTCAGGCCTGAGAGGGGGCATCTGAGTTGCCAGCCTGTCCATTCAGCAGGGGTGGGGGAGGTGGCCCCCCAGGTGACAAGAGGGTAGTTGGGAAGGGCTGGGTATCTATCATCCAAGGGTGATGATGCTTTGAAATTCTAAAAGCAGGACATGGAAGTAAGAGGGACCAAGCCCAGTGAGTGCAACTCCACGTCTTTCATTGTGTGAAAAAGGATGAAGTCCAGGGACTTGCACTGTAATGTTCGTCCCTGATACGCCTGTAACTTACAGAAGAGCTCTTAGAGGTCCTTGGGCCCCAGGTTACCAACAGGAAAGATAGGAGGGGTGGAGGGGCTTGCCAAGGTCCCCTGGGCACAGGCCCCGCCATTCTCACAGTGGCCACTGGAGGGCAGCAGCTTCCCTTCAAACACAGCCGGTCCACTCAGCCCTCTCTGTCTAATCCGTCCTTCACAAAAACCTTTGCTTTAGTTAGTCCTTCACAAAATGGCACCGGCGCAGAAGGCCTTTGGGGAAATTCTGGCGCTCTTGAGAGGAACGTCTACTGAGAGCACCGTGGGACAACTAAGGGGCTGTTTCTAAGGGATATCTTGTTTTTCAAAACTTCTCTTGAGAACCACGAGCTCATGGAAACCAGTTTTGGAATTCTGAAATCGCAGAGCCTGCAAAGGGGGTCCTCCCAGCAGCTCCTGGGCGTGGGGCGGGGGGGACCCAGGCTTGGCCCTGAAGGGGGCTGTTGGCCAGGTGGCTTTCTTCTCACTGACAGCAGGAGGCTGTTTTTGTGGCTTTTTAAAGAACCACACTTTCTGCTGTCACTAGGATGCAATGTGCCCTCTGTCCTCCGCATCTCCCTCCCAGGACAAAACTTTTGGATCACAAAATTGACAGCAATTTAGTTTTAAAAGGCTTCCCAGGTGGTGTAGTGGTAAAGAGTCTGCCTGCCAATGCAGATAGTTTTTAAAATGTTCACAATGACGATCTAGAGAAATAACATTAGCCCCAAATTAATATCACCTGAAACCATTTTACTTGTTCCCCTTGAGTGTTTTTGGCTTTTGTTGTTGTTGTGTTGGGTTTTTTTTTTTGGTTTCAAGAACACTGGAGTGGGTTGCCATGCCCTTCTCCAGGGGATCTTCCCAACACAGGGATTGAACCTGGGTCTCCTGTGCAGCAGGTGAATTCTTCCCTGGTCTGAGACACTAGGGAAGTCAGTTTTTAAGCTAAACTCAGCCAAATTCCTACCCTGCATTGTTGTAATAGTGAAAAGTTGGAAGCATAAATTAACAATAATAATACAAACAAATAATAGTACTTACAGTTTTCATAAAAGTTATAAAAATATCAGTTGTTGATTGGAAACTTTCATTTTTAACCTTTCAATAATGTCAGTGGGAACTTTTGAAAAAAGCTGGAAATCCCTCCCACCTTCATTTCTACCCCATCACCTGGGTCCCTCCGGATAGAGCAAAGAAACAATATTTGAAATGGCACAAAGGAATAGAAAAGAGAAGTTTTTAAATAACAAATTTCCAAAGTTATTTTATTTCATCTAAATGCTATCAGGATTTCAGTCTAGTTTCTAATTAAGACAAATTAATGTATGCGATTCGAGAGGAGGGTAGTTAAGTTTCTATTCCAGTCAATTCCCATTGGTATCATCTAGCTCAAACCCTTCTCATGCATTTAAGCCATCTCACTTCCGTTCACGGATGATGGTTTCTCCTGTTTTAATCGTAAATTAAGCAGCTGCCTTGGTAGACATGGTATGATCTGGACACCCAGGGCTTCTTGGACAGAAGGCAGGGCTCACTCTTCAATGCCAATATCCTTGTCTTTTTCTCTTTGTTATCTGCTGTTCAATAAATCTTCTCAGGTACTCAAGGTTTTTGTCAATGTTGTTTAGATAAAAGTGGAGTTTGGAGCCTAAAGTGTATTCTATAAAAAGAAGAGTTAATAGGAAAAAGTCAGAACTTTGAAGAGATTCATGAAAACGGGGGACCCAGGACCGCCAGACACCATTCCCTACATGCATACTTAGGAAAAATATTTTCGATTCCTTCATACGCCCGCCATGTTCCCATCCCATTGGCTTCAGGCATCCTTGCTATGTCTGAATTTAGGCTTGTAAGCTGCCAGAATCCAAGGGGTGACATGTCAAAGATGGTTCAACCCTTGACCCTTGGTTTCTCATGTGAAGCTCAGTAGCCTTTACCTTAGAATACACAGGTGTTTTCTAATAAATAAGTTGCAAGAGGGCCGATTTTGCTATTCTCCTGTGTTTACAACTGATCTTTGTTTCTTGGGTCATTCATCTTTGATGAGTTGATAATATTAACCCATCTGGTATGGATTCTATAGAACTATGAAATATCATGTAGATTGTGCAGTTGGGTTGCTACATAGAAGTCTGGGTCTGTGTAAAGTTGGAGTGAGATGATGCCCAGTTCTCTGTTCTCTTCTCAGTAAAGGAAGGGCATTGTTCAGATCCCTTGGCTGGGTTTGGGAGGAAGCCCTCTTCCTATCTCCTGGGAGTTGGTATGCTGTTGCTATTGTTATCATTGTCATCAGTTGCTAAGTCATGTCTGACTCTTTGTGACCCCATGGACTGTAACCTGCCAGGCTCCTCTGTCCTTGGGATTTTCTGGGCAAGAATACTGGATCAGGGTGCCGTTTCCTTCTCCAGGAAGGAAACCCAAACCAGAGATGGAACCCAAGTCTCCTGCATTGGCAGGAGGATTCTTTACTACTGAGTCACCAGGGAAGCCTGGAAGTTGGTGTACTCCTCCTAAATAGCAAGTCTCAGAAGTGACGGCAAAAATGACATACCGCCAGATGGAACATTCTGGACTAAGAAGTGGTTATTAGAACCTCTGAGATTGCTTATGAGAGTACATTGAAATGACACTCCTGCCCTGCTGCAATGGAAAGAGCATTTGAGAAGTGGCATAAGGAGAATGATACAATCTGTGTTTGTTGCAAGAATAGCATAAAATGTTAAACAGGGACCATAGCAAAATTAGAACAAGGAGACAGATCAATGGGTCTAAGCTCCCTTTGTTGAGTCTGCTAGTGATTGGACCTGTTTAGGAGGGTGTCATCCTTTAGAAGAAGAAATTGTGACTGCTAACATCCAATAATTTGGCCACCTGATGAAAAGAGCTGACTCACTGGAAAAGACCCTGATGCTGGGAAGGATTGAGGGCAGAAAGAGAAGGTGGAGACAGAGATGAGATGGTTGGATGGCATCACTAACTCAATGGACACAAGTCTGAGCAAGCTCTGGGAGGTGGTGAAGGATAGGGAAGCCTGGCATGCTGCAATCCATGGGGTCACAAAGAGTTGGACATGACTTAGTGACTGAACAATAATATCGTATAAAGTATAATATGGGGAAATTAAAATTATAGTTGGTGTCATTTTTCCTGTTAGTATTGTATGAAAGGAGCAGACTGATACAAGGGAAAACAATAAATGAACCAGGAGAGATAGTGAGAAAACTATAAATGGAGCTTTATTGTGCTGGGGAGTATGTATGGAAATTTTTAACTTTTGCAAGGTACATGTAGAGATAGGGTAATATTGACTGGAGACCAGGTCTATTTATTAGAGGATATAAAGTCATCCATGGAATTTTCCAAACAAGAATACTGAGTAGATTGCCATTTCCTACTCCAATAAAGTCCTCAGGAATGGTTAATAGGAATATACTGTAAAGACAATGAATTCAGGGAATGTGTGTAGTTCACCACCGCTTTACAGAGAATTGGACAAAATAAAGATGGGAAATTGCAGAATATTTACATTCCTGTGACCACAGAAATGAGGTAAGTCAAACCGACACAGTTGAAGCCCCACCTCCTGGACTGGAAGGTCCAGGGGAAACTGGATCACTTATACCTTCTTCCAGGGTCCTGGCGTCTGCGGCTTCACCTGTGTGCATAAAGACGCGTCCGTCTCTTTGTGACCCTAGGGACTGGAGTCCACCAGGCTCCTCTGACCATGGGATTTCCCAGACAAAGAAGCTGGAGTGGGTTTCTGCTCCAGGGGATCTTCCTGACCCAGGGATCTGACCTGCATCTTGGGCGTCTCCTGTGTTGGAGGCGGTTTCTTTACCTCTGAGCCACCTAGGAGACTCAAAGGCCATTTGGTGGCTAATCCACCCCGTTTGATCCGCGAGAAAAGGTAACAAGCAGTATGTGGTCTAGTTAGCCCCACCTTGAGGGAATTTATGGGAGGAGTTGAGGATGGATTTGTAATGCAGACCAAGATAGAAGTGTGGGGGAAACACCTGAGTTGGATATGATGAGGTGAACATGAGCCGACACTCTATGGGAGCATCTTGTGTTACTGACATCTTGCTCCTCCCACTGTCTCTGGCCAATACCAGGTAATATTATGGAGCTGGCTCATTCTCATCACCCGCTCTGTCCTACTCAGTAGTACCACTACCTGGACTGGGAAGATGAGTCATCCTCTTTGCCCAAGCCCCATTCTGATTGGTCCACCGGAGCCCCCTGCCATTCGGATGACTCCCCTTCCCTTACTGTGGCCAGAAGAGATGGGCTTACCCAGAAAAGGAGGGAAACAGGAAATTATCATTGCATGCGGCAAAGAACAAACCAGAGTTGATCCCACTCACCCTGATGAGGGTGAGACACGAAGTTGGCCTCCACCACTCTGTGGTTCAGGGGCTGAGTCGTGCGGTAATCATTCTGGATGGTCTTGTTCTGGTGGTTCAACAAGGAATTCTCTAGCTTCTCAATCTGCCAGCAACATGAAAGGAATTAATGAGAGGAGAGGCACTGGGTGACTTTTTTTTTTTAATTTAGTTAACAGTTGAACCAGCGCTTGGATTTATATAACTCTGATAAAGGAGATCTCAAGTCCAGAAGTGGTTCTGAACACTATGTGCCTTGGCATTCATCCACCCAATCATTCTTCTGACAATATCTTTCAGTCTTTTTTCTCTGGGTATTTAGCCGATAGAGAAGAGAGAAAGAAGTAAACAGACACATACCAAGTAGCAAGCTCAATTTCTGTTTTTCTGAACATTCCTGTGTTTTTGTCTATTTTTTTTTTTAGAGTAAATTCTATTTATTTAATTATTTTTGGCTGTGCTGGGTCTTAACTGCTGCACTCAGGCTTTCTCTAGTTGTGGCCAGTGGGGGTTACACTTGGTTGTGGTGTGAGGGCTTCTCAGCACATGGCTTCTCTTGTGGAGCCGAGTCTCTAGGTTCACAGGCTCAGTAGTTGTGGCGCACAACTCAGGCTGAGTTGCTCTGAGGCATGTGGGATCCTCCGAATCCAGGGATTGAACCTGTGTCCCTGCACTGGCCGGCAGATTCTTAACCACTGGACCGCCAGGGCAGTCCCTTGTCTGTGTTCTTGAGAGACATTTTTGCTGTCGTACGAGTCGAGGTAAGCTACTCATTTCCCTCAGGGCTTTGAAAAAGTGGTTGCACTGCTTTTGAATTTCGTTGTTGCTGCGTTGAATTAACTCTCAGTCTGATCATATTTCTTTCATGAAAATATATCTTTTCTCTTTGGCCGATATTTAAATCTCCTCTTTGCTTTAATAGCTTGTGGCTTCACTGTGATGTGTTTAGTGCGGGCTTCTTTCTGTTTTCTTTGACTCATTGGGCTTCCTTAATATATAATATGGTGACTTTCAACCCCCTGGAAAATTGTCAGTCAACATTTCTCAAATTATTCCTCTTCTCTATGCCACCTCTCTTCTCCCACTATAATTTCAACTTGACATTTTTCAGGTCTTTCTGGTATCTTCTCTATCTCTCTCTACTTTTTCATATTTCTACCTCTTTCTCTCTCTGTGCTGCATTTCGCATAATTGTCTCAGCTCTGTCTTTCAGCTTACTAATTCTTTCTTGAACTTGTCCTACATGCTATTAAACTCATTTGTTGCATTATTAATTTCAGTTACTATCTTTCATTTCTAGAAATTAACAATTTACTTTTTTTCAAGTTTACTTGGTCATTTTTACACTTCTTTCTTTCCTTGTATTTCAAACTCTTCTACATATTAAACATATCAAATATGTTTAATTATACATATTATGCATTCTTCATACATATTAAACATACTTTATATTAATTGGCTGATAAGTAAACAGTATCTGAAATCTTCGTAGGTCTGATTCTGCTGACACTCACTCATAGTGCCTTTTTATTGGTATTTTGTGATTTTTTTTTTATTTGAGTTCATCTCAGATCATTTTATTTGTAGAAACTCTTCTAGATCTGAATTTAAGGTACATTATTCATAGATAACTAACACTGATTTTTGTTAGGTATCTCAGGGCACTTTCAACCTAGTTGGCATTGTTTTTATATCTGGGTGTAAGAATGAGGGGTCTTTGCACTTTTTCCTGAAATAGGGAAATGGAAATTTTAAAAAGAGAAATATTCGCTTCTGAGGAACCCAGAAGGTTTGCTTTGCAAACTCAGTAACATTTTTCTTTTATTTAACTCAACAAATACTTATTATGTGCCCGTGCTAGGCTCAAGGACAAAAGACAATTGATACAGCTCTTCCCCTCAAAGGGCTACAGACATTTTCAGATGGTAAATGGCTAAATCTGAAGGTGTCCTTCTTGCATAAAGTCATTTATGAGGTTAGAATGTTGCCCCATAAGGACATGGAGTTTGCACATGTAATACCTGGTGAAAGCAGCACTCAATAAATATTTGCCTTCACTATGCAAATTTTCTCCTATGACTTGAATCAGTTTCCAGTTTTTTTTTGTTGTTGTTGCATTGCCTATAGATTTCTTGGATTCTCTGATGCCTGTTGGCCCATTTCTGCCATAGCATAGCACTGGTAAGATCACCCATGGTGATACAGGTGAGGCATTACAGCCCTGGACATAGAAGACACTATAGGAGCCCAGGTATTGGCATTAGGTAAGATTTAGGGGAACGCTCTTATTGATCAGGTCTTGGAAAGGAGAGACTTGGATATTAAAGCAATCTTGTACATTACCTGTGTCCTAGAGAGCTTGACAGTATCTGCTACCACAAACCAGTGGACGTTCTCTGTGCAGGGAGGAGTGGTGAGTGATCCCAAGTAGCTGTAGTAGTATCGGAGGTCCCCAGGTAGCATGTCCTGGATGTCAAGGCCCCTCAGAACCGTGCTTTGTCCTAATAGAGGGGATGAGAAGGAATGCCGGGGACCACTGCTGCCCCTTGGGAGGGCAGCTCTGGCTCAGATCTCACCATCTTTAAATCTCCTGATTTAAGCAGAAGAACTTAGAACCTGATCATTGAGAAACATCGCCCAGTGTGCTGCTTCCTGGAAAGGGTTAAGAGCAAAGACTTTGGGGAGAAACCCTCTCAAATACCTCCTCTGGCTGGGTGGCCCTGGCTGGATACTCACCTGTCTATAGAAAGGGGACACTCATGGGAGTTCCCTGGTGGTCCAGTGGCTAAGACTCCATGCTCTTATTGCAGGGGGTCCGGGTTTGATCCCTGGTCAGGGAACTAGATCCCACATGCTGCAACTCAAGATGATGCACGAGGCAGGAATTCTGCTTCTTTCCCTGAGCACTTCTGAATTTTTTTTTTAATGGCAAAGAGGATATCATTGTGATATATACATAAACAGGCTTGTTTAACCAAGGCTGTGAAGTCTAGTAGTGCATAGCCCAATGAGCAGGCAAAAAATTTCCAAGTTTTTTTTTTTTTTTCTGGTTGCACTGCATGGCATGCAGGATCTTACTTCCCCAAACAGGGATTGAACCCATGCTCCCTGCAGTGGAAATTGGGAGTCTTAACCGCTGGACTGCCACGTTAAGAAGATGAATGAGTGTCTGGGTACCTTCTCCATGAAGTGGGAGGTCAGGCATCCCCTTCAGGGGAGAAGCTGGGGCCAGGGAGGGGGTGCTTCTGGAGAGAGGAGAAAAGGTGATGCAATCATTGTGGAGAGGGGAAAAGAAAATGCCCAGAGGAGTATTTTAAGATTTCTGAGCAGTGTTAGTACTTGTTAATATTTTAGCTAGGAATGAAAGTAATACCAATTAGAAATATCTGTGTTTCTCTCAGGCACATTCTCTATAGGCTGTTTGGCTACAGGCTCTGAGAAGGTAGAAGTTGGCCTAGGGCTTTATCAGGTGAGTTTGTGGAGGGATGGAAAGCATTTGCATGGGTGTGTCAGAATGATGGTCAGTGGCATCCAAGCCAGGTAAAGAGAATTGAGAGGCAAGAAGCGTGACTAGTAGTGAAAACATGGAGGCCCATGAATTGGAAGTTAGGAGATTCCTGGAGAGAGTGAGGACTGAGGTCAGGGAACTAGAGTCCAGAATATGGGGCAAAGTGAGATGCCCAGAACCAAGGCTGCAGCAGACGTGGTTACAGCTTAAGGTCAAGAGTTGACCATGTTGCTGCTGCTGCTGCTAAGTCGCTTCAGTCGTGGGAGCGGGCAAATGTTCTGACAAGAACCCTGCCTTCTGGAGGCAGAGAGAAGGGAGACCAGCGCCGTGACTGCATTCACAGACACCATGACAAGAGGCTTCACTCTTGAGACTCTTCTCAACTAGAAACCAAGGAGCTCATCTCTGTCTCAGGACCAGGATCATCACTACCAGCTGGGGCCAGAGGTGAGGGTGACTTAATTGAAAATATCCCTCATTCATGGAACTCTGGCCATCCAGACGTTCCAGGCGTGGAAAACGACAGGTAGTTTATGAACGGGTCTCTCGGAGGTGTGCACAGCCTGAGCCAACCACGGGAACTGCTGGAGCCAGAGACCTTGCACGGGGAGCGAAGTGTCCCCTGGAAGGCTTCTCTGCCACCCTCCCCACCCATTACTTTCCCGGCCCCCCGACCCTATCACACTCAGTCTCAGGCCTCCGCCCCGGTGCACCTTCTGGTGGTTTCTCTTACCTGCGTACCTGATGTCCTCCAGATGAGAAATGAAGTTGCTGTAGTAAGCATTTTCAGCGTAATCCTTTACCTGCGGGGGAAACGGAGCCGTTAACCTGAGGGAGGTGGGGCCTCCCTCTGGTACTCTCTTCCTTAATTCAGCTGTTCGGTATCCTGGCTGGCTGGGCAGAGCTATGAGGGCAAGGAGGCATCTGGGGAGACAGTCTGGCTGTTCTTTGCACCAACTGCCTTGGCTCACCAGTTTCTTCCAGAAAGACAAGATCTGAAGCATTTTGGCAGCTTCCCGAGAAAAGACCTTCTTGGCAGCATCTGGTGATATCCTCATGGAATGGCCAAAGTCACTGTTAAAATATCCCCAGTGACCTTGTTTGGGGCAATGTCAGCCACAGTCAGATTCACTGTGGGTTTTTGGTTTTGCTTTTAGCCACTGCCACACAGCATGCAGAATCTTAGTTCCTTGACCAGGGATCAAGCCCATACCACCTGTAGGGGAAGCATAGGGTCTTAATTGCTGGACCACCAGGAAGGCCCCCAGATTCATTATGATGAGGGGGCTTGGTCTCAAGTGCTCCCTTCTTCATCCTCAGGACTTTTGACTGGATGGACTAGAGCCAGATGTCCAAGGCAAAACTGCTCCAATGCTGACCTGCAACATCCTCTATTTTTTGAATGAGTGTTTACTTGTTAGAAGTCAGAAAAGTTGCTTTTGGTGAAAAAGATATATGGACAATGGTTCTTTTCAATCAGTGATGCTGATCCATTCTTCCACTGGGTGAAAATTCAGACTTTCTTGGATTTCTTCTTTTTCTAATCTTAAATTTATTTTTTCATTGAAGGATAATTGCTTTACAGAATTGTGTTGGTTTCTGCCAAACATCAACATGAGTCATCCATAGGTATACATATATCCCCTCCCTCTTGACCCTCCTTCCCACCTTCCTCCCCATCCCACCCTTCTAGATTGTTACAGATCCCGGGTTTGAGTTTCCTGAGTCACAGCAAATTCCCATTGGCTATCTATTTTACTATCTATTTTATCTATCTATTTTACTATTGGCTATTTATTTTACATGGTAATGTAAGTTTCTATGCTATTCTCTCCCATACATCGCCCCCCTCCTTCCTTCCAACCCCCTTCCTTGGATTTCTGACTGTTGTTTATCTGTTTTCTAAATGTGTCATCTCTTTCTCTGTTTTTCTAGCTACCTTATGTAAGCAAATACTTTCAGTGTACCATTTAACAATTTTAAGTTATTAATGGTTGCTATAGTGACTTCAATGTGCAACTTACATCAGTTTGTGCTAGAGAGCATCCCAGGTGGTGCAGTGGTAAACAACCCACCTGCCAATGCAGGAGACGCAAGAAACTTGGTTCGATCCCCAGGTCAGGAAGATCCCCTGGAGGAGGGCATGGCAACCCATTCTAATATTCTTGCCTAGAAAATTCCAGGGACAGAGGAGCCTGGCAGGCTACAGTCCATGGGGTCACAAAGAGTTGGACACAACTGAGCATTTTCTCCTAAATACAGATCACATTTTCCTATTTGCATGCTGAACTTTTTCCTTGATTACTAGACATTTTACATAGTATATGGTAGCAAATCTAAATTCTGATTTTTAAAAACTGTCCTGTGGGGTTTTTGTTGTTGTTCCCGTAACTATTCAGTGACTTGCCTGGGCTTTATCTGCAGAATATGTGTCCATAGTAGTGTGGAGCAGCTGATGAGTCTGCTCAGGTCTTAAGTCTTATTTTTATTTTTTTAGCCTAGGACCATCTATGGTCAGCACAATTTTACAGTCTCTCTGATTTTAGCAGAGGTTGTGCTCAGACCCCAGGAGCTCAAGCTGATGGATCTGCGTGGGGGTTGAGGAGCACATTCAAAGGTCGGCCAGTTACCAAGTCAGACTCAGCTTTCACTTTCCATCAGGCCCGGGGAAGCCGACTCGAGCGCTCTGTGGGTCTCTCACTTTCAGCATCTCCCAGTTAGATTTCTGATTGGTCTGCCCCTTGCCGCTCACCTCAGGACTTGAGACTCCAAGAGCTGCGAGTTTTCCTTTTCTGTCTTTTCTGTTGTTTGCTACTTTTATCAGCAATGCCCCTCGGGCACGGGTTTTCAGTTTCTACTTCAAATCTAATGAATCCCTGTACCAGGCAGTGAAGCTGCTGGTTTTTCAGTTCACCTGCCCTGATGAAACTACCTTGCTGACCAAGTTGTTGTTGTTCAGTTGCTAAGTTGTGTCCGACTCTTTGCGACCCCAGGGATTGTAGCACGCCGGGCTCCCATGTCCTACACCATCTCCCGGAGTCTGCTTATACTCATGTCCATTGAGTCAGTGATGCCATCCAACCATCCTATCCTCTGTTGTCCCCTTCTCCTCCTGTCTTCAATCTGGCCCAACATCAGGGTCTTTTACAGTGAATCAGTTCTTCCCATCAAGTGGCCAAAGTGTTGGAGCTTCAGCTTCAGCATCAGTCCTTCCAATGAATATTTAGGTTTGATTTCCTTTAGGATTACTTGCTGACCAAGTTATCAGATGGAAAGAGTGCCAGGCAAGAAGCCCACAAACTCCCATTGTTTTTACTCAAAATTCTCACCATTCGTCATAAATAAGTGCTTTACCTTGTTATTTGTCTTTGGTCCATTTCCAGAGCACTGATATGCTTGTTTTTGATGTGTGTGTGTTCAGTCGTATCCAGCTCTTTGTGATTGCATGGACTGTAGCCTGCCAGGCTTATCTGGAATTTTCCAGGAATGGAATTTTCCAGGCAAGTATACTAGAGACGGTTGTCATTTCCTTCATTTCCAGGCAATCTTCCTGACCCAGGGATTGAACCCGTGTCTCTTGTGTCTCCTGCATTGGCAGATGGTTTCTTTACTAACTGAACCACCAGGGAAGCTAATATAATACTTGTTTTGGGAGGGGATCGTATTCACTGACCATTTCTTGCCACCTAGACATAAGCCCCACCCTCCAGACTTTCATGCAGAGATGTGGCCTCTGTCTACTGGGCCGCAGGCTTCCTCGTGTCCTCAGACCAGTTTCTGTTCAGTCAGCCCCTCTGGGATCACCTCTTCTAACTCAGCTTGTCCAGATCATCCATGAGGTTGGTGACCCAGAGTCACCACAGTAACTGCAAGCAAGGACTGGGGAAAGAGTAGGTCTTTCAGGGACTTCCCTGATGGTCTGGTGGTTAAGACTCCACACTCCCAATGCAGCGGGCCCAGGTTCGATCCCTGATGAGGGAACTAGATCCCACATGTCTCATAGATGCTGCATGCTGCAACAAGGGAAAAAGACTCTTCGTGCCACGACTAAGACCAAATAAGTAAACAAATGTTTTTCTTTAAAAGAGTACACCTTTTATCAAGTCAGTGTTTCCAAGAACCGTGAGCTCGGGAACACATGAGGAGAGACAAGTAGGAAAACCCTTTGTCTACACTTAACACCTTGTTTTGACACCAGTTTATAACTTTGAGTGTGTAGGTTCAGCCTACCTCAACCAGGGCCGCCAGCACAGCCAAACCATCCGGCTCTTTCCGGGCTTCCTCATAACTGTCGTATTTAGAATTGTAGTGGACGACGTGAATCTGTGGAGGCAAGAAAGGGAGTGAAAGTCGCTCAGTTGTTTATGACTCTTTGCGACCCCATGGACTACATAGTCCATGGAATTCTCAGAATACTGGAGTGGGTAGCCTTTCCCTTCTCCAGGGGATCTTCCCAACCCAGGGATCAAACCAAGGTCACCTGCATGGTAGGTGGATTCTTTACCGACTGAGCCACCAAGGAAGCCCAGAAATACTGGAGTGGGTAGCCTATCCCTTCTCCAGGGGATCTTCCCAACCCAGGAATCAAACCAGGGTCTCCTGCATTGCAGGAGATTTTTTACATGCTGAGCTATCAGGGCCAGTCAAGGGCAATTCCTATAACCTTCAAACGCTTCAGGTTTTTGGGAAGGAGGAAAATGAAAAAAAGATGCTTCATCTGGCACCTCTGCTTGACCGACAAACACTGCTGACCACCATCTCCCTCCATCTGGGCTCCAAGATCTAAGACCAGAAAGTTCTGAGGACATGAGGAGAGGGCTGAGAAATGTTCATGGGGAGAAGCTCTGATTAATGCAGGCTTGTATTGCTTGTATTAGCTGATTTTGCTTTATATTTGCAAAGTAATGAACATTTCTATTATTTATTGAAATAGCTTAATTTGCATAGCCTGTACTCAATACAAAAAAATAATGTATACCACTTGCTTGCTTAGTAAGAATAAGTGCTAGATTTCTAATTTTAAAAAAGCAGATACACAACAAGCAACAAAGGTTTTACTGTATAGCACAGGGAACTACAGTCAATATCTTATAATAACCTATAATGGGAAATAATATGAAAAATAATATATGTATATGTGTATAACTGAATACTCTTGCTGTACACCTGAAACATTGTAAATCAGCTATACTTCAATAATATATATACATCAATAAAAAAGAGTAATGTATAAAATATGTGAATCAAGTTTAAATTAAAATTTTGACCCTAAAAAAAAATTCTCCAAGAATGCAAAGAACACGAGTAGGGTTATGTGTGCTGTGTGCTAAGTTGCTTCAGTCATGTCTGACTCTTTTTTTTTTTTTTTCATGTCTGACTCTTTGTGACACCACAGACTGTAGCCCACAAGGCTCCTCTGTCCATGGGATTCTCCAGGCAAGGATACTGGAGTGGGTTGCCATGCCCTCCTCCAGGGGATCTTCTTGACCCAGTGATCAAACCTGCGTTTCTCATGGGGCGATGGCAATTCACCTGCCCCCAGGCAGACAAGCTGGCATAGTCCAGGAGACCATATGAGGCCATGGGGTTCCCCTGAGGTCTCCCTAGAGTGGGCATGTGCCCCCTTACCTCAGAAGGCCACTGTAAACCCGTGGTCATCCGAAGCAGTAATAATCTTCACTAGCCATATCTTTTTAGGTAGTGTCTCATCAGTTCTCTCTCTTGAAGTAGAATCCAATAGGCTTTCTTTATGAAGCCTCCCAGGTGGCGCTAGTGGTAAAGAACCCACTTGCCAAGGCAGGAGCCTTAAGAGACAAGAGTTCAATCCCTGAGCCGGGAAGATGCCCTGGAGGAGGGCTCGGTGACCCACTCCAGTACTCTTGCCTGGAGAATCCTATGGAGAGAGGAACTTGGTGTGCTACGGTCCATGGGGTTGCAAAGAGTCAGACACGACTAAAGCGTCATGGCACGCACCCATCCTAAGCAAGAGAGGAAACCAGCAGATCTACCAGGCAGAAATCCAGCTGAAACTAAAGAGAGCTTGCCCCACTCTGTGGGCTGTGCATTCCTGCTTCGGGCTGACTTCGTGAAAGCGGGGACCCAGCCCGAACCCCCAGCACAGAGCAGTGATGAGTGGTGAGTGAACGAAAAATAAATTTAACCTCAGGGTGACCTGACTCACCACTGCACAAAGCGTTTTTGGCTGTTTTAGTGAGAAAATAGGGCTTCCCTGGTAGTCCACTGGTTAAGAATCTGCTTTGCAACGCAGAGGACACCAATTCGATCCCTGGTCCAGGAAGATCCCGCGTGCCGAGGGGCAACTCAGCCAGTGCAGCACAGCTACTGAAGCCTGCACACCCTAGAGCCCGTGCTCCACAACAAGAGAAGCCTCCGCAGTGAGAATCCCACGCAGCATGACTAGAGAGTAGTCCCCGCTCACTGCAACTAGAGAAAATCTAGAAGCAGCAAGAGCCGCCAAAAAATAATAGTGATAGTGCATTAAAAATAAATTGCACAGGCCTTCCCTGGTGGTTCAGTAATAAAGAATCTGCCTCCAATGCAGAAAACCTGGGTTTGATCCCTGATCTGGAAAGATCTCACATGCTGAGGAGCAAATTAAGTCTTTATACCACAACCACTGAGCCTATTCGCTAGAGCCCAGGAGCTGCAAATACTGAGCCCACACACCACACTAAGGAAGTCTGATTCCCCTTTGGTCGTGCTCCACAGAGAAGCCAGCGCAATGAGAAGCCCTGCAACTAGAAGCACTGCAACTAGAGAAAAGCCCTGGCAGCAATGAAGACCCAGGACAGCCAAAAATAAAATAAATAAAATATTTTTTAAAAGAGGGCTTCCCCAACCTAGATCCCCATCAGCAGACGAATGGATGAGGAAGCTGTGGTACATACACACCATGGAATATTACTCAGGCATTAAAAAGAATTCATTTGAATCAGTTCTAATGAGATGGATGAAACTGGAGCCCATTATACAGAGCGAAGTAAGCCAGAAAAATAAAGACCATTACAGCATACTAACACATATATATGGAATTTAGAAAGATGGTAACGATAACCCTATATGCAAAACAGAAAAAGAGACTCAGTGGGAGAAGGCGAGGGTGGGATGTTTCAAGAGAACAGCATCGAAACATGTATATTATCTAGGGTGAAACAGATCACCAGCCCAGGTTGGATGCATGAGACAAGTGCTTGGGCCTGGTGCACTGGGAAGACCCAGAGGGATCGGGTGGAGAGGGAGGTGGGAGGGGTGACCGGGATGGGGAATACATGTAAATCCATAGCTAATTCATTTCAATGTATGACAAAAACCACTGCAATACTGCAATGTTGTAAGGTGATTAGCCTCCAACTCATGAAAATAAATGGAAAAAAAAAAAAACTAAAAAAAAAAAAAAAAAAGAGGGCTTCCCAGGCGGCTTAGTGGTAAAGAATCCACCTGCCAAGGCAGGAGACCTGGGTTCAATCCCTGGGTTGGGAAGATCTCCTGGAGGAGGAAATGGCAACCCACTCCAGTATTCTTGCCTGGGAAATCGCATGGACAGAGGAGACCGGTGGGCTGCAGTCCATGGGGTGGCAGACTAGAGAAAAGCCCTCGCAGAGGCAAAGACCCAGGACGGCCAAAAAATAAATAAATATTTTTTAAAAAATAAAGTAACACAAACATGACTACGGGGTTTGAAAGAAAGAGGAACCTGAAGGTACCTCAATTACATATCGCATCCCATCCACAGTGTGCTCAGAGCCACTGATCTCCGAGGACGCTCCGCCCCAGTGGAAGTGCATCTGCTTGGCTAAGTACTGTGTGCCGTCGGAGGTCGTCATGCGCATGGTGGACGGCAGGCTGATCTGCACTGGAAGAGAAGACGAGAGTGGGGAGTGTGCAGATGGGCGGGGACAGGCAGGCCCACAGGTGAGTCAGCATCCCTGCTCACCTGGGGCCAGCTGGTGCTATAGACAGGCCTAGACTGCCATGGGCAGGGTGACCCCCGGGGAGGAGGCAACTGGCACACAGGGCCGGTTGGGGACCAGGCTCTGAGCTGGGCTGATCAGGCACTTGTCCCTGGGCACACACCTTCCCACTCAGGACCAGTAGGTCAGGCTCAGGACACCAAGGGGCAGGTCCAACTGATTATCCCTGAAAAAATAGGGCTAGTGAGTGTGAAAGTCAGAATTCCACTCTCCACCTGTGGCCAATTTTGGAATTTGCCCATAGGGTAGGGAACAGGAAGTGGGGCCTCTTGGGACTGTTTTGATTACTTTTACTACCAGACGTGAATACCCTGGAAGGCGGAGTTGAGGTCATTAACTTCGCCACGATGTGGTTAAAATCTTCAACCCATGTTGACTTCTAGAACCAGCCCAACTAACAACCCATTCTACTGCATCCCTGAGGGTTTCAACACTTTTTTTTGTTGGACTGCTCTGGGTCTTCATTGCTGCTCAGGCTTTCTCTAGTTGTGGTGTGCTGGCTTCTCATCGTGGGGGCTTCTCTTGTTGTGGAGCACAGGCTCTAGGGCGCGCGGGCTTCAGTAGTTGTAGCTTCTGGGCTCTAGCGCACAGGCTCAGTAGTTGTGGCGCTTGGGCTTAGCTTTCCCGTGGCTTGTGAACTTTCCCAGACCAGGGATCAAACCTGTGTCCCCTGCATTTGCAGGCAGATTCTTAACTACTGGACCGCTAGAGAAGTCCTTTTATTTTATGGACCAAAAGGCCAACCCAGGGAGGTAGAAAGATTTGCAGTCACTCAGATTGTAGGTCCAGGCAGAACCAGGCCTGGACAGGACGTTATCACTGCAGGCCTCAACTTGTCTTCAGAAGACAAGAGATCAAATTCTGCGGCATGTCAGGGAACACGCGGACTCTCAGTATGGGATTGAATTTGATGTAATCATCAACAGTGTCAAATGTTAGGTTCTTGCCGACAGAAAATGGTTCAGTCTTCTAGCTAACTCGTGCCTTGGGCCCTACAGATTTTCTACAGGGAAGTCACTCTGGTCAGACAGCTGTCTTGTTTATCCCACTGGCTCAGACCTGAGAGAAATCTCTATATTTTGGAATGAGTCAGGCCAAAGGGAGACATGGAGAGTGACCCCAAAAGTGACCAAGAAAAATATCTATGAGAGTATAATTTAAGACTTGGAAAGGGACAGTCGGCCTCTGTCTTGTTAACAAGGTTTTTCTATTTAGTCATTGATGATAAGGTTTTTCTATTTAAAGTCATCAATGATAGTTATAAACAAGTACATTTTCTTAAAGAGCAAATATTAGGTCTTTGAGGATTTCCTGGTGGTCCAGTGGTTAAGACTCTGTTCTTCCCATGCAGGAGGCATGGGTTGGATCCCTCATCAAGGAATTAGATCCCACACATCACAAAGTGTAGCCAAAAAAAAAATCAGGAATTTGATATCTGTCAAATGCCCCCCTTCTTCCCTTCCAGAAGCAGCAGGAAGCTGTGATGACAGCTTCATAATATGCCAGGAGGCAGGAATCGGGCCTCTGAGGTTTTACGTGCCCTTTGGCAGAACAGGTGTTTTGTGTTCAGTGCTTAAAATGTGGCCAGCTTCTAAGTCAGTGCTCCCATGAGAAAAATGGAAGAGTTTTTCAAAGAAGATGTTCAGTCTTCTGTGTCCAGAGCCTGCAGAGCTGAGGACAGTTAGTACCACATGAGCCGTAATAGAGATCCCGTTAAGTGTTTCCCCAGAAACACAATCCCCTGCAGACAGAATGTCTCAGTTCTCAAGCTGTATCAACAGGATAGCATAGGACAGATTGAAAAATGGCAGCAGTACTGGGCTTATCACTCTGCTTTTGAAAAGGTAAGGCCAACTACCCATCCTCCCCAGAATCGATTTGCTGAACCTTCCATGTTCTGACAATTGATTTAACTTCCAGAACTGACTCCTCTTTGTTTGGAACTGATTTAACCAGATTCTCATCAACACAGAAAAACCACATGATCTGAGCATTTGCTGTGCTCACATCTACAACAAAATAGAGAAACTGAAAACAAGGTTTAGAAGGACTTCTCTGGTGGCCTATGCTCCCAATGCAGGGGGCCCTGGGTTCAATCCCTGGTCTGGAACTAGATCCCACAAGCCGCAACTGAAGATCTTGCATGCTGCAACTAAGACCTGGTGCAGTCAAATAAATAAATAAATACTCTTTTAAAAAGAAGAAAATAAGCTTTAGGAACTGTTGCAGCACTTTATCTCAATACCCAAGTGTGTTTTCGATAAAATGTGATTTTATATCTGTATTCTAATCTAATAATAAAAATGGAAGCATATAAATATAAAATAGACATATAAAGCAGAATTTGAAATTAAAAACACAATCCCATTGACCATCTACAAATCAATGAGAAAGGCCTCAAAATAGAAACTAACCTGGAGACACTTGATCTTGGACTTCTACCCTCCAGAACACAGAAAATAAGATTCTGTGTTTTAAGCCACAAAAGCCCCACAATATCATTTACATTAGCACTCCCCTCCCAATTAAATAATTAGGTATAAATCTAATGAATTATATACAAGATCTATATGAGGATAACTGAAAAATTCTGATGAAAGTAGTCACAGAATAAAAAAACGGAGAGGTAGTCAATATTCCTGGATAGGAAGACTCATTGTCCAGATGTCAGTTCTTCTCAACATGACCTAGAGACTCAGTGTGGTCCCAATCAAAACACCAACAGGAAAAAACAAATAAACAAAAACCCCAACAGGTTGTCTTGTGGATGTAAACAAACTAATCCTGACATTCACATGGAGAAGCCAAAAGACCAGGATAGCTGACACAGTGTTGAAGAAGGGGAATAAAGTTGGAGCACCAATGATACCAAACTTTAAGACTTATTGTAGAGCTACAGTTGGGACATCTGGTGGTCCAGTGGCTAAGATGCTATATGCCCCATCCAGGGGCCCGGGTTTGATCCCTAGTCAGGGAACTAGATCCCACATGCAGTAACTAAGATCCAGTGCAGCCAAATAAATAAATAATTTTTTTAAAGGCTTACTAAAAAGCTACAGTAGGGACTTCCCTGGCAGCTCAGTGGTTAGGACTCTGCACTTCCACTGCAGGGGGCATGGGTTCAACCCCTGGTCGTGAACTAAGATCCCACATGCCTCTCCACAAGGCCAGGAAGAAAAAAAAAAGCTACAATAATCAATGCAGTGTGGTCTTGGTGGAAGAATACACAAATATCTCAGTGAACTGCAAAGAAAGCCCAGAAATAGACCCCCATAAACATATTCAACTGATCTTTAACCAAGTAGCAAAGGTGATGTTGTTATTGTTCTTTTCTTGCTGAGTTGTGTCCAATTCTTTGTGACCCCCATGAACTGTATAGCCTGCCCAGCTCCTCTGTCCATGAAATTTTCCAAGCAAGAATACTGGAGTGGATTTTCATTTCCTTCTCCAGGGGATCCTCCTGACCCAGGAATCGAACCTTCATCTCCTGCATTGACAGGTGGATTCTTTTTTTTTTTTTTGGTTGGTCAGCAGTGGTTATTACACCAATGGCAAATAATGAAATGTGTGTACGTTAGCAACAACCACAGGGCCAGCAAGACAACACACAAAAGTACCTGAATAGAGTCCGTGACATTTTTCCTGGGAGGGGAGAAGCCACACATATACACACACACACATACACGCACGTTCGCACGAAAACACTAACATACCACAGGATGGAAAGCAATAAATTATGGGCCACGTGCCTGCCTGGATCCTAAGAAAAGGCACAGTTAAAGAGCAAAGCCTCCCCAAGCCAGCTTCCTATGTGTCCCCAGGGTGGGCCCTGGGTCTGGCAGTGGCCAGGCAAGCTGGAGGCCTGAGCTGGCTTGCTCTCCCTGGGAAGAGATGAGTTTAAATATCTGGCTTCTTACCAGAACTATATACAAGGAAAGTGGCCACACAGGCCTCACAGGGGAAAGGGACTCCTATGGGCCTATGTCAAGTTGCCCGCAAGTCCCGGTCCATGGCAGGTGCTCTCCCTGGGCGGCCTTTCTGAGGGTAGGGAAGGGGGTGAAGTGAGCAAGGTGAGCCCAGCTATGGGCGCTGGTTCCTCCCTACCCCTCAGCCCGGCGGCTCCCTTCCTTAGGCCGATACTCTGCAGACTCCTGCAACTCCTGGTCCGTCCCCGTCTGGGCGGCTGCAGAGCTCGGTCCCTGCCCGCTGGCCGCCTCCAGCCCTGCGGCAGGGCCCAGCAGGGGCCCCTTCTCCATGATGATCATCCGCCGGTTGTCCTCCAGCGTGAGGTCTGCGGTGACATGCAGGGCCTCCCCTCTGTCAGGCTCACTTGGGGGCAACTCCCCCAGAGGCTGGGGCTGGGCCACCTCTGGGCTCACCGGGGCCCTCCTGGCCTTGAGGCTGCCACAGCGGCCCAACCTGACAGGTGGATTCTTTACCACTGAGCCACCAGGGAAGCCTATGGCAAAGGTTATACAATGGAGCAAAGAGGGTCTCTTCAACAAATGGTGCTGGAACAACTGGTCATCCACACGCAAAAAAAAAAAAGAAAGAAAAAGAATCTAGATAAAGACCTTATACCCTTCACCAAAATTAATGCAAAATAGATCACAGACCTAAATGTAAGGTACAAAACTATAAAATTCTTAGAAGATAACATAGGAGAAAATCTAGATAACTTTGGGTTTGGTACCTTTTTAGATACAACACCAAAGACGCAATTCATGAAGAAAGAATTGATAAGCTGAGCTCAATTACAATTTAAAACTTCTGCAAAAGAGAGCATCAAGAGAATTAGACAACAAGCCATAGACTGGGAAGAAATATTTGTATAAGACACATCTGATAAAGAACTGCCATCCAAAATATACAATGAACCCTTAAAATTCAACAATAAGACAAATAACCCAGAGACCATCACAGATACCTCCCCAAAGAAGATACACAGATAGCAAATAAACAAATGAAAAGATGTTCCACAGAACAGTTCATCAAGGAAATACAAATTAAACCAACCATGAGATGCCACTACACACCTATGAAAATAACCAAAATCCAGAACACTGACACCACCAAATGTTGGCAAGGATGTGGAGCAAGAGGAACCCTCATGCATTGCTGGTGGGAATGCAACATGTTGCAGCCACTTTGGAAGAGAGATGAGCAGTTCCTTAGAAAACTAAACATACTCTTACCATACAATCCAGCAATCATGCTCCTTGCTGTTTTCCCAAATGAGTGGAAAACTTATGTCCACACAAACATCTATACATTGGTGTTCATTGATGTTTATAGCAGCTTTATTGTTATTGCTAAATCTTGGAAGCAGCCAAGATGTCCTTAAGTTGGTGAATGGATAAATGAACTTTGGTGCATCCAGACAAGGAAATATTATCCAATGCTAAAAAAGAAAGGAGCTATCAAGTTGTGAAAAGACATAGAGGAACCTTCAATGCATATGACTAGGTGAAAGAAGGGCTTTCCTGGTAACTCAGCTGTCAAAGAATCTGCCTGCAGTGCAGGAGACCCCAATTAGATCCCTGGGTTGAGAAGATCCCCTGGAGGAGGGCATGGCAACCCACTCCAGTGTTCTTGCCTGGAGAATCCCATGGACAGAGGAGCCTGGCGGGCTGCAGTCCATGGGGTCTTAAACAGTCGGACACGACTGAATGACAAAGCAGAGCACAGCACAGGTGAAAGAAGCCAATCTGAAAAGGTCCCACACTTCTGCCAACTTCCCAGATGCTTCAGAGAGTGATGTTGGAAACAGGATCTTGACATTTGTGATAAAATGATGCTTTCATGAATTATTTGTGGAGGTCAGTGATCCAAATCATAGGTATCTGAGGGCTGCTATCTTCACCAGCCTCATGAAGAGCAATGGGTTTTATTTTCTCAGTAGAGCAAAGAGGAAATCTGAGTCCTATGACCCTAACCCCACAAGCCTATGCAAATGGACAGTAATGGGAGTAGAAAGGGATGTTTCCAAGGAGGGCACGGTGGAGGAATCAGACATCTGGGAACTGGGTCCAGCTCAACCATTAGAGACTGTATGACTAGAAGTCCCTTGGATTCTCAGTGTCCCTGTTTTCAGCCTAAAAAACACCTCCCTCTGGGCTTGTCTTGAGGCTTAGAGGAGATGAACCCAATTGGTGAAAATGAGAAAGATGTGTGCCAAGGTGTAGCCAGATTTTAGGTGTCCAGTCTAGACTTCAACAATAGAGGGGCGCCAACACCCAGCCTTTCCTATCTGACCTTTACACATAGAAAATGTGGCCAATCAGACCAGGGCACAGATCAACAGAACACACAGTGGGTCGTGCAGCTTCATTGCATCACCTCTCTGTCTGCTGAATTTCCCTCTGGTTGGGTCAGAGTGGGCTTGGAGAGAGGCCAGCGCAGAATGAAGAAGTGAGTGCGGAACTGAGTCTACAGACAGGTGCTGTGCTATCTGGGATGAAGTGCCAGGACTCAACACCTGCAGCCCCCAGGCCACACTCTGCCTCTCAGCATGTCTAGCTCTGGGCAGCCCTGCCAGCCTCCCCCACCGCCCACTTCCCCTGCTGGCCCCCAAGGGACAGAAGCTGGTCTGTCGCCCATCCTTACCCGTGTGGCCGTTGTTGGTCATAGGGAACTCCTTGTGCTGGAGTCCGTAGCCTGTGAGGTTCAGAGCCCTCAGGGAAGGGTTGTACCGAACTTTCTTCACCTGCAGGTCAATGGGCGACTGTCTCGTCCCCCCACAGTCCGGGTACTCCAGAGGCCAGTGTGCTTCGTCCAGCGCCCCCTCTGACATGGGAGAGAGCCAAGGGGATCACAGTGAGAGGTGCTGCCCAGCCGGGCCCTCTCTGTGGGCACCTCACTCAGTATAGAGGCCAGAGCCGGTAGCTCACAGCAGGGCCTGGCCAGGGAGGCCGGCAGAGGCTGAGACCAAGGCTGGAGGTCTGCCTTCTAGAAAGCAGGGCAGGGCCTCCAGGAGGTGGGTTGTTGTTGTTGTTTAGTTGTTCAGTTGTCCAACTTTTTGTGACCCCATGGACTGTAGCTTGCCAGGCTCCTCTGTCCCTGGGATTGCCCATGCAAGAATACTGGAGTGGGTTGCCATTTCCTTCTCCAGGGGATCTTCCTGACCCAGGGATCAAACCCGCATCTCCTGCATTGGCAGGCGGATTCCTCACCACTGAACCACCTGGGAAGCCCAAGGAGGCGGGAAGGGCACGTAAATCAGCTTCACAGACCTTGGGGGGCTTCGGGGCTGGTTCCTAACTTTTCTGTTGCAACCACTGGCCCTGAGAACATGACTTACTATTTTGAAAGCAATGGCTATCTTTAAGATCAAGCTTTGGTTTTTCCTTTCAGTGACTGTCAGCTGATGAATATGGGATCTGGCTACAGTGCTAGTGGTAAAGAACCCGCCCGCCAACGCAGGAGATATAAGAGACAGAGGTTCGACCCCTGGGTTGGGAAGATTCCCTGAAGGAGGGCATGGCAACCCACTCCAGTATTCTTGCCTGGAGAATCCCATGGACAGAGGAGCCTGTGGGCTGCAGTTCATGGGGTCACAAAGAGTCGGACACAACTAAAGGAACTTGGCACAGCACACAGCTGATAAATGGTTCTGAGGGCACCTTGGCCTTGGCCTTCCTGTGTTACTTTTAAGGGCCTTTCCTCACTTCTTCTGAGTGGCAGTTCCCTTTCCCAGCCCTCAACACTATGAAAGCCCCATCCACACCCTACGGCAGGACCTTCCCACCTCTTCTCTTTCCCAACCCCACTTCACTGGTTCCCAGTATTGTAAAGACCACCTGGGTGCCTACACTGTGGATTGAAGTCAAGAAAGGAAGCATCAGGTTCAAGGATGACCTAGAATAATTACTTGAAAAAATGTCAAAGAAAGGAAATTTATCTTTTTAAAGGTAGTTATTAATCATAGAAAAGAGTGATAAAAGCAAGTCATCATAGGAATTCCCTGACAGTCTAGTGGTTACGACTGTGCACTTCCACAGTTAGATACCTGGACTGGGAATTGAGATCCCACATGCTTTGTGGCACAGCCAAAAAGTAAACAAAAAACAAAAAACAAAAGCAAGTCTTCGTAATGGGTGATTCAGCCTTCAAACAGTTGTGGAGTCTGGTCTCACCTGTTTGCAACAGGGACTCCAGCTCTCTTTCCCCCTCAGTGGGCAGCTGTGTCATCCACAGGTTATTTTGAGAAAGATGATCATATCTGGGCCTTTTACAGTTTCCTGATTCAATAAAAAGTCAATTCTTTATTTCTCCTCCTCTCCTCATTATTCAATAGTACACACCAAATTGTAGGCAAGTCTTTCCTAGAGGCAGATGCAAGCATCAAAGTCAGAATTATTTTTTGCTCCATTGCGTGGCATGCAGGATCTAAGGTCTGGGACCAGGGATCGAACCCAGGCTCTCTGCATTAGAAGTGCAGAATCTTAACCACTGGACCCCAGGGAAGTCCCAAGGCCAGATGTCTTGAGCACAGCCCCTTCACGGGCCAAAAGGCTTTTTGCCAGCATGGGGGTTTCTCAAGTGTTTACAAGAGGTATTTGCGGTAGCTTTCCTGGACTCCTGGTGCTTCCAGAAGGTCACAGTCTCAGGCTATGCTGAGCTGAGAGGGACAGTCTGCACTGTGGGAATCCTCACTTGTCTTTACCCTATAGTCACCCTCAGCATCTATGGGCCTGCCCAAGCAGAAACCCTGGGGTCTCATGGTGCTGAGCCAGGGAGGGATCCTCTGGGTCAGACAGAATGACTGGTCAGTTGGCTGTCCTGCCCTGTGCTGCCAGACTTCTTGAACCTTCCCATGATGTCCCTAACTCTGCTGCCCTTGACTTAACAGGACACACATCCACCCTCAGTGGACACTCCCCTCAGTATCTGAGGCCAGGGTGGACTGTGCAGAGAGTAGGTTCAAAACCTGCTTGCTCCTGACTCCAGCAGCCCTGGGCATCCTCTTGGGCCCCATGCCTCCCTCCAGGACATGAAGGAGGAGGACCAGGCAGGTGCTTTTGCTCCTGCCACACAGAAGAAGTGTTTCTTATCTGAACCCCACAGTCTTCCTCTCTTTGGCTCACATGTGGGCCAGGTCCTGTGGTAAATATCAGAGTTTTTTTTTTTCCACTTCATGTCCTGTAAGTGGGGTTCAAGGTGTGAGTCTGGGGCCTCAGCAGGGCTAGGCAATGGAGAGAGGCCAGCCTGGAGGCCGTGTAGTGGTCACTGGGTCCTCGGCACATTGAGATGTTCTAGATAAACTGTGTATCATGGAATTTCCAATAAGAAAGTTCTTGAAAATCCCACACATTCTCAGTGGGACTGCAGGGAGCTCCCTTCAACCACTTTTTTTTTCTATTGGAGGATAATTGCTTTACAATACTGTGTTGGTTTCTGCCATACATCAACATGAATCAGCCATAGATATACATATGTCTGGGCTTCTCAGGTGATGCTAGTAGTAAAGAACCTGCCTGCTAATGCAGGAGATATAAAAGACAGAGGTTTGACTCCTGGGTTGGGAAGATCCCCTGAAGGAGGGCCTGGCTGTCCACTCCAATATTCCTGCCTGGAGAATCCCATGTACAGAGGAGCCTGGTGGGCTACAGTCCATGAATCAGACATGATTGAAGTGACTTAGTACACATGCATTCATATGTTACCTAAACCGCCCTCCCATCACTCGCTATCCCACCCCTCTAGGTTGTCACAGAGCACTGGACTGAGCTTCCTGAGTCACACAGAAATTCCCACTGGCAATGTATTTTACCTATGGTAATGTGTTTGTTTCCATGCTATTCTCTCAATTCATCCCACCCTCTTCTTCCCCTTCCTGTGTCCACAAATCTGTTCTCTATGCCTCCATCTCTACTGAAGTGAAAGTGATAGTCGCTCAGTGGTGTCTGACTCTTTGTGACCCCATGGACTATAGACAGCCAGGCTCCTCTGTCCATGGCATCCTCCAGGCAAGAATACTGGAGTGGGCAGCCATTTCTTTCTCTTGGGGATCTTCCCAACCCAGGGACTAAACCTGGGTCTCCTGCATTGCAGGCAGATTCTTTGCCATCTGAACCACCAGGGAATCCCCCTTGCTGTCCTACAAATAGGTTCATCAGTACCATCTTTCTAGATTCCATACACGTGCATTAATATACAGTATTTGTCTTTCTCTTTCTGACTTACTTCACTCCATATAACCGCTTTATTTTTTATCTACACAGACAGAGTGCAAATGGCTTTGCTGTCAGAAGCATTGAGTGAGTTGTCAAGCCAGCACCAGGAGTGGGAAAGCAGAAACCCTGTGGTTGATTCAGGGATCCAGAAATGGAGAGAGCTCTGCCCTACTGTCTGTAACCGAGGTCTCCCCCAGCCTGAGATGTGGAGCCCCAAACAGCACCGCACACAGTCATCGCACGTGGTCGCCCCTGACTGACCAGGCTTCACCCTCGAGAAGTGGGTGCTGCCCCTGGGCCTTACCTGAGTAGGTCCACTCGGCCCCGTGCTGGGCCTGGGCTCCCAGCACGAGCAGGGATAGCAGGGTGACCAGGGGCGTCATGTTGCGGCAGGTCTGGAGTCAGGGCCGATGCTGCGGAGGCTCCTCTTTTAAAAGCTCAGAAACTGTAAATAACAATTTACCGGGTCTGGCCGGCTGATCCACCCTTTGCTGCGCCCACTGAAAAACAGCATGCCCCTGACACCCGCTTCCCCGGCCAGGTGATGCGCACCTGCCCCATCACCTCTGGCACAAGCACCGAGTCCACGTGGCCCGAGGGTTCGGTTGTCTGCTGTCTGATTTATGAAAACTCACTCAGAGGGTCACACAGCGCAGCCTTTGTGGACAAGCGACTACCTCGGGCCAAGCAGATGGCCCCAGGCAGAGGGCTGCAGAGTGGGGAGGTTTTTCCAAAACAATGGCATTTTCTGTGACCTCGCTCCTGGCAAGCGGGGCCCAGGAAGGGAACCAGTGAGGAACATCACCAGTGCCTAAAGCCCCAGCCGGATGCTGCGTGGTATTTCCTGCCTGCCTCAGCAGTAGACACCTGCCACTCACGCAGACTTAGGGCTGCCCTCAGCCGGACAGCTGGAGAGATGGCCTGGGCCCCATGCGTGCTCAGTCGCTCAGTTGTATCGACTCTTTCGAGACTCCATGGACTGTAGCCCACCAGGCTCCTCTGTCCATGGGATTCTCCTGGTAAGAATACTGGAGTGGATTGCCACTTCCTCCTCCAGGGGATCTTCCTGACCCAGGGATCAAACCCACGTCTCTTCTGTCTCCTGCATTACAGGTGGATTCTTTATCTGCTGAGCCACTGGGGAAGCCCCATGTTTGAGCATAAAATGAAGGATCCAACTGCAGGCTGTCCTGTTCTAATCCTCTTTTTCTTCTTAAGCCTTTTTTTTTTTAATGTGGACCATGTGTAAAGTCTTTACTGAATTTGTTACAACATTGCTTCCGTTTTTTGATATTTTGGTTTTCCGGCCACAAGGCATATGGGATCTTAGCTCCCAGACAAGGGATCAAACCTGCACCCCCTGTGTTGGAAGGCAAAGTTTTAACCACTGGACCACCAGGGAAGTTCCTCATCCTAACTCTTGAATCACTGGTGGATGCTGAGTCCCAGCTCATGAGCCACATCCCAACACATGTCCTGGGTTAGCCCAGCTGCTGTGGGTGTCTGAGTTGCTCTGTGGAATGGATTTGCTCTGACAGCCACAGTGCGCTTGGTCACACCCAAACCCATCCAACACGCCGAATCAATGAATTGCCTAATCCTCCTGTGTCCACTTGGGTAAACAGTCCTTGAAATTAGCTGAGAGAGAAATTTTCGAGGTTATACTTGCTGACAGGCTCGCACTTCCCATGGCCTTCAGAGAGGACACAGGCAAAGGGCAGCAATGTTCTTGGCCTGAAACAAAGGACCGTCCTGTTCTGCAGAACAGAGCTAACGCCTCTGCAGCTTCTTTAATCTCATGGCCTACTTTTCCCTGGAGTCTGAGGGATGCTGCAATGGCAGTACAGTAGCATGATTTAACTCTGGTGGAGAGAAAGGATTCTGTGGCCAGGCCAACAGAGTTCAGAACTCTGCTCTGCCACTTACTAGCTGTGTGACCTTCAGCAAGTTACTCAACTGTTCTTTGCTTCCATTCCTTCAGTTTAATAAGACTTAAGGATAGTACTTCCTCATGCAAGGAGATCAAACCAGTCAATCCTAAAGGAAATTAAGCCTGAATATTCATTGAAAGGACTGATGCTGAAGTTGAAGCTCCAATACTTTGGCTACCTGATGTGGAGAGCCGACTCATTGGAAAAGATCCTGATGCTGGGAAAGATTGAGAGCAGGAGGAAAAGGGAGCAACAGAGGATGAGATGGTTGGATGGCATTACCGACTTGATGGCCATGAGTTTGAGAAAACTCTGGGAGATAGTGAAGGACAGGGAAGCCTGGCGTGCTGCATTCCATGGGGTCGCAAAGAGTTATACATGACTGAGCAACTCAACAACAGCAACCTCCTCCTGAGGATACAACAACAAATCTGTATGTAATACTCATAGTAGCACCTGGTATGTGGCAAACAGTGTTGTTAACATTTTATGGAGAAAGGAAGTGACATCATTGTCACCTAGCCTGTTGGGGAGGGAACAGAGGTGAAAATGCAGAACTCAATCTCCAACTGAAACAGCTTTCCAGGTTTTCAGAAATAGGAAACCCACTGCCCAGTCTTTGCTAAGGAAGTTAGATCCCAGCCTGTTGGGCCCAGGTCTGGCTATAAAGGGCCACCTTGTAAGACCCAGTTCTGCTGAGGACACTGAGATGGGCACCTACCTTTAGGACTTTTAGACATGCCAGGGAGCCCTGACACCCAACTGGCAGGAAAACAAAAACTGAGCCATCTCAACTCTTTACTTAAGAATCACAGAAAGAATTAGAGAATTGCGGAGGGAGCCAGAAGATCCTGATGTGGAGAAGCCAAGGAGATTTGCCGAGGTGAGAAGGAACTCAAGTAAGCCAGAGTGTAAGACAGGGGAAACTGCAGAGAGAGGGAGGCAGAAAGGAGAATGAGAGGAGACAGGAATAGATCTACAGAGAAAGGAGGCTTCCTGGAGCCACATGGTCTGGCCTGAGTGTCGGCCGCTTCCAATGTCTCCCACGCTCCATCTCTCATTTGTGTGTGAGAAGTGTGGTCCTGTGGTCAGCGCTTTGGGATACGTAAGAGAGCCCTGGTGCTTTTATTGCCCCGCAAAATCTTTGAAGTAAGTGCACAGTTGCTTTTGGGCATCTGTAATGTTAACATCCCTCGCCTGGAACCCTACTGCAGAACATGCATCCATCCATCAGACCTGCAGCTTTGCCGGGGTTTCTCTGTCTCTTTGGCCAGCTACTAGCCTGTAAAACTGGCTAACACTGCGATAAGTGGTTAGGGTGAATGATTAAGTTAATAAAGTGATCAGACTAGTCAAGTCCCATCTGCTAATGAGAGCATCTTACTAGAGAGGGATGGGGATTCTGGGTCTCCTTCCTCTGCTGTGTAGAAGACTCCAGTGAACTAATCCACATAGAATCGGTCAAGGTCACTTTTGTTGCCTACTTTCCAGCTCACTGTCTTCTTTGACCCTAAAATTTTCCATTAACCTTGAACATGTTTCCGCCCTGTATTTGGAAAGCACACTGTTTTGATTTTTATAGTGTGCCACATTAGACTCTGAACTGGCCTTTTCTGCTTTCATCCAGCCACATCTCCAGCTCCAGCTCATCAAAGATATGTCTTATTCGCAACTCCTGTTTTTCTGGATACTGTGATTTGAGTGGTTGTCTGAGATGAGTTGACAAGTATGCCATTTTTAATCACAACATAATGTCAGAAATGACAAAGGAGACTTGTTTCTCCTTGGTGCCACCACAGCTGCGTGGAGGAGGCCCACGGAGGCAAAGAAAAAGGGAGGGCAGTGAGGTGCGGTCAGCCCGGAGGAGTGGGGAAGCACCTCCAGGCCAGGGGGCAGGGAGCGGGGACCAGGCCAGGGGGCAGGGAGGGGGGACCAGGCCAGGGGGCAGGGAGCGGGGACCAGGCCAGGAAGGCAAGGAGGGGGACCAGGCCAGGGAGGCAGGGAGCGGGGACCAGGCCAGGGAGGCAAGGAGCGGGGACCAGGCCAGGGAGGCAAGGAGGGGGGACTAGGCCAGGGGGCAGGGGGCAGGGAGCAGGGACCAGGCCAGGGGGCAGGGAGCGGGGACCAGGCCAGGGGGCAGGGAGGGGGGACCAGGCCAGGAAGGCAAGGAGGGGGGACCAGGCCAGGGAGGCAGGGAGCGGGGACCAGGCCAGGGAGGCAGGGAGCAGGGACCAGGCCAGGGGTCAGGGAGGGGGGACCAGGCCAGGGGTCAGGGAGCGGGGACCAGGCCAGGGGGCAGGGAGGGGTGATCAGTCCATGGGGGCAGACAGGGGTGATCAGTCCAGGGGAGCAGGGAGAGGTGATCAGTCCAGGTGAGCAGGGATGGGTGATCAGCCCAGGTGAGCAGAAAGAAGTGATCAACACAGGTGAACGAGGAGGTACGGTCAGTCCAGGTGAGCAGGGAGGGGTGATCAGCCCAGGTGTAGAGGGAAATACTATCAGCCCACATAAACAGGGAAGTACTATCAGCCCAGGGGAGCCAAAGCTCAGGTTTGCACAGGACTGGCATGGAAAGATGAATTTGGCTACACAAGAACACATACATTTTGGCTGTAAGTAATACAGACAGGCCATTGTTCTGTTTCATTTAGGAGTTCCAGCTCTGGAATCCTGAAGACTGAATCATTCTCAACAAGTTAGTTGTCTAAATAAGTAAAGGTTCAATTCTATATAAGCACCTCTAAGATACTTAGTCCACTTTGGATTAAAACTTTTAAGGTGTACCATGCTCTTGCCTGTTGCCTGCAGTAGGTCAAGCTGAACGCAATTAAACTTTTCTTAATGACCAAGACCCACTAATTTAAATATCAATTATTATCCTTTATCATAATGTATTTATGCCCAGTGGGCCTATAATTATATGAGTCCTCTCCCTACATGAAACAACCCTAACTGTTACACTTTTGAATTTCTTGTTTTAGATGTTGAAAGAGGAATTTCATCTCTCAATTATTAAAGCAATGTACACCCATGTTCATGGGTAAAATAGTCAAATTATTAACATACAGAAGACATGTAACATACAGAAGGCAGTATAGTAAAAGCTACGGCTTTTCCAGTAGTCATGTATGGATGTGAAAGTTGGACCATAAAGAAGACTGAGCACTGAAGAACTGATGTCTTCAAACTGTGGTGCTGGAGAAGACTCTTGAGAGTTCCTTGGACTGCAAGGAGATCAAACCAGTCAATCCTAAAGGAAATATTCATTGGAAGGACTGATGCTGAAGCTGAAGCTGAAGCTCCAACACTTTGGCCACCTGATGCGAAGAGCCAACTCATTGGAAAAGACCTTGATACTGGGAAAGACTGCGGGCAAGAGGAGAAGAGGGCAGTAGAGGATGAGATGGTTAAATAGCATCACTGACTCAGTGGACGTGAATTTGACCAAACTC